CGCGGAAGGAATGGCGAACGTGAATGTCACCGCCTCGGCCATATCCTTGTCCCCAAAACACTCTGAGCAAAGGTGGTCGGGATCGGCGCGTCGTACTAAGCCAGGGCACGAAGACAGGCCTGGTCTCTAGCAGTGGCGACTCCCTGGAGGTATGTAACTCTTTACTTCTTCTTTCCAAACGTCTTATCTCTGCTTCAGAATTTGCCCCGCTCGCTGAAGAGAAAGGGATGAAGTCAGAAGGCGAGGCCACTTTTATTACGTGAGATGCGCGCATTCAGGTAGGCCCGCCCCAAGGCGATCTACGTCTTCTATAAAATCTCAGTAGGTGAATGCTGCAGTCGAGGTAATACCCATAGAGTCCAGTAGGAGGCGAGCCTGTGAGAGAGATATATACTAGGGATTGCATCGAATATTCGGCGCCGAAGATTATCGGCCGAAAATGCTTGAAAAAGGCTCTTTTCGCTTTCGGCCGAAGTTTTAGCACGAAAAAATATGCACCCGAATGTCAGAGTAACAGTGGGTTTACGCTTGGTAACTACGTGGTTGTTGTGATGACGTAACAAAACGCGGCGACAACACGGCGCCCACCATGCTCGGGCTGGCTCACAGCCACATCTCTGCCGCTTTGGAGATATTTAAAAATATGCAGAGAAAGAGGCGGCGGATTGCGATTTGTAAAACGTGTTCAGCTGACACATTTCTCCGAGGGGTTAACCTGCAAAGGAGCGTTCACCACTTCGGGATTACTCCACCACTTGAAATCAAAACACCGGACAAATATGCGGAGTAAGATCAAAGTCACAAGCACTGACAGCGAGGAGACTGTTCAGCGGCCGGTGCTCTCCATTGCCCTTGATGAGAAGAGGAACAGACTCTATGGCTGATAAAGCAGAGAAGCTACTGTTCATTAAAAAATAACCTCCCACTTTTCCTTAAGTAAAGTAGGACAAGGCTGGTTATCATAGCTTATACTATTCTACATGTCTACTCTATTACCCCACTTTCCTGAACAATTTTCATTGGAGTTTATAATTCACCAATCTCAGGTTA